AATTGTTATTGTAGGTAACATTATGTGACTACTACATAGTGACAAATATGGATACATCATTGCCCGTTTTTTATTTTTCTGGCTTTTAAACAATATAGTAATGTACTACCTATATTATTTGTTTCTTTCCTAGTTTGTAAAGTAATATATTGGATTAAAACCAGCTTCTTTCAACTTTAAGGATATATATTTTAAAGTTTTAAATGCGATGCGAAAAGTGCATACAGATTTACGTTAGTAGGGGAGCCCATGATACTAAATTGGGATTTACTTGAGCGTCCTTGGGACCTACTGGATTTTGAAGATATGCTGATAGAAAGAAGAAATGGTTTAGTGACAATTTCTTCCACCAGTGGGGGAAGGGGGAATCTACAGATCTTTGAAATTATTAAGCGTAACTTTTGTTCTAGTGGTCGAGCGTGTCAGATATTGATAATGTACATGCTCCATCCATCATGCTCATGCATGTATTTAATAATAAAAAACTCTTAATCTGCCAGTTTGCATGGTGGGGTTGAATGTTCTGGAGAGTACAAACGAGAACCCTTCAAAATCTCCCCACTCTTGCAAATCAAGTTGGAATGGGCAGATTTTTTAAACGCACTTCCTTTAGCACGGTATTGACCTACCTTCCCTTAATCTGACGAAACTGACTTTATTTAGTCAGACTTTTTTTTTAATTTTCAGTCCCCCCCTTCTAATCAGATCGGATATATGTTGGGTATATTCAACATGACACTAGGTTTTCCCCATATGTTAATCTGACGCGCTCGAGTAACTACCGAAATCCCTTCATGGGCTCCCCTACTACGTCTAGTGTTTCATGTGCGTATTTGCATGAACATTTTTTTTAAACTAAAAAAATACATCTTAGTATTTTTTACTATACATCGAAAGTAAAACTCCTTTTGGCAAGTTGTTTTGCCGCGGAATTTTTATTTTTGTTTGATACATCGATAGTACTCTTAATGACAAGTTATTTTGAAAACAAAATAGATTTTACAATGTATATTATACGTATGGGTTTGAGTGTACGAGGGGAGTCATAACTTTATCGCAGGATGTTAGGCAATCGTAAGTAAGCAATAAGACTTATTATAAAAATCAAATAGTAGATTACAAGTTTAATCGAACGGTCGGTCGGTGACAAATCGCAGCTGTAATTTTGTTGTTTATGATTGCAATAGTATTTTTTATTCTTTTACTAGCTTTTGGTACAATCTTACATATACATTGTTTTTTTATAGCATAAACTGATAAACGAACAGACGGATCACCTGATGGTAAGCAATCGGCGCCGCCCATGGACACCCAAAACCCAAGGCGTTACAAGTGCGTTACCGGTCTTTTGGGAATTGGGAATTTGAGGATTGTGGAGGATTCGGGGATTCGGGAGACTACGGAGGGGGGTAATTGGGCGTCCGCCCGTCCGGTAACCTCACTCACAAGACGTGAAACAACGCAAGCGTTGTTTCTAACGAACATTCAGCACATGGTCAAGGTTTAATTTGTCTTGTAGCGTCATCAGTCCAGCGACGTAGGCCCTTTACAATTCATCCCTTACAAGTCTCCAGGGGCTTTTCGTTTTAGCCTTTTGAAAGTTGAGTTCTATACATCATTACATAGTAGAGGTATAAAACAAAGTCGCTATCCGCTGTCTATCTGTCCCTATGTATGCTTAGATCTTTAAAACTACGCAACGGATTTTGATGCGGTTTTCTTTAATAGATAGTGTGATTCTTAAGAAAGGTTTATATCTATAGTACATGCGTATTGCACCCGTGCAAAGCCGGGGCAGGTCGCTAGTATAACATAAAATTATTACACTATACAGTATACATATAATATAAAATTATTTTTATAATAAAATGCAGTGCATAAAATTACAGATTTATTATAGTTTTGATAAAAAGTTTTAACTAAGTATACGTATACACAATGCGTGTTTCTGTTTAGTAATATAGCACACACGTTTAACAATTTAAAACTATTCAAATGATTCTTGTTATGCGCGTGGGCTTGGAACTCTTGGGCTGTTCAGTAGTCACTTATGTCATCAAATTTTTAAACCACTCACTTAAAGCTAGCTGCAAATTAGCTACTCAAGCCAAACCTTATTTGATTTAAAACAATGACATGTTCTTCATTTGCAGCTAATTTGCAAACAAAAGCAGACCTAAATTCTTGTGCTTAATTTATTAGAACCGTATAAAAAAGAGAATTTTAATGACGATATATCATATTATGTACCTACTCACCTACTACGTAGTGCAGTATATACGCCACCGCACTATGATGCAAACATTTTAAGTAATAGGCAACTTAATTTTTTTTTTCACGGTATTTTTTTTTTTAAGGGCGGAAAATCTTCGAATGACTGCTCCCGCCTGGGTGAGGCGGGAGAGAGTGTCAGACTCTTACTGACTAAAAACCACCCCGTTCCTTCTCCTGCACGTCGAGCCGGAGCCCCGGTTACCCGTTAGGTTCTCCGCGACAGATTGCAGGATAATAAACAAAAATGTATGTATAGTCATGCACTGGTGTTAGTAAAACTTGTTATTTACTTTATTCTTAAGTTAGACATCTGTTGAAATAAGTAACTTGTAAGTACATAGTTCATTTCAACTGTCGATGAGGGTCGAGTGCTAAGTATTCATTGAACTCTTTAAAATTATTCAAGAATTTTATCACACAATCTTGAATTACATTTTTTTTTGAGTTTCAAGCATATTAAATGCTTATTCCAGATATTTGTTAATGTTTTGGAGGTAGATTTTGTAGATAACTAGCGGACCCAACTGACGTTGTCCTGAATATCCACTTAAATGTATAAACAAATATTCATTCGAATTAGTTCAGCTGTTTAGGATAAATAACCTAAACATCGACTGCAGCGCCATCTGATTTGTGAATCTAAACCATTCCCAGATGATCGGTCCAATCGTTTGAGAGAAGTTCAGTGACATACACACTCACAGAAGTATATATATATATATATATATATTCCTTGAACGTCCTTGCATTAGCGGGGCAGTACTACCCTCTTACAGAAAAACAGTAGAATACAGTGAAATATTGACGTAATGGCGAACCTATTTAAGATACCTTTATCATTTTGGAGGTGGAAACCTCCCACATGAAGCATATAAACAATTTTCTTCGTGGTCGCAAACACACTCGTCATGTCCCTGGTTATTGCAGCGGTACTTAGGCTGTGGTGACTATACATTACCACCAGACGCGCGCGTCAGCTTTGATGCAACTGATAAAACAACACGTGTTATGCGACACGTGGGATGTCTAAAGCCTTTGTACATTAATTATAACTACAAACTAAGAGATAATCATAATGTTGTGCTATACAGCAAAATTTTAGAAGCAGAATTTGAATATTCAAATAAAGAACAGGTGCTTCTAAAATTTCACCTATGTAAACAAAACAGAAGTAGGTTCAAGCTAAGGCATATAAGCTGCATTTTCTTAGTCATAAGCATATCGTTGTTTATAACTGTAAGCATAAGTAAATAAAAGTTTTTAATGTCAAACTAATAACGGCATTTGACAGATACTAAAACACAGTACTTTTTTAATGTGTACTGGCTGAAATGTAAGTGGCGAGGTCAACCTACGAGGAAGGCACAGCCGCATAAAAACCTGTTCGATGGTGCGCGCTCGCACAGCGGTTTTCTGGTTTTACCAATTTGATTAACATAATTATTGTGACTTTATTATGTTGTATAAGACCTTAGCATCACTACAAGTGAAGCTACATAATTAAATAGGTGTCAACTATGACCGGAAGTGTCAGTCAAACGGTCAAAGTATTCCTGTGAATGAATATCGTGTGAATGACCCTTTAAATATTTATTTTTGTCTTGTGTGTATTTTTGTATTTCTGAATATTGTGTTTTAACTCTGTGGTTTATTTTAGACAGCAATAATCAATGAATGATTGAGAAAAACCACATCCGTTTTCTTGTACATAGCTAAGTATCGACTATAACTATGTAGAACTTTAGATGTTAATATTTTATGTATTCTCAATACCAATGGAGTAAATAACTACATATCGTGAGGAAATACATAGTTCTTTTGGTAAAAATTCGTGTGTTTATTATCCTGCTTATGTAACCTAAGCCCATCGACGTCACGTCGTCGTTGCCAAAGTCATTAGATACCATTTATACCCAAAGAAAAATTAGGTCAACGTCTCCTTATTCCTTATAGGTTCAATGTAATGTTATACATATTTGCTTAGCCCGCAATCATGGTGCTCACGTTATCGAAGATAGATATAATTATCTAATGATATTTCTTAAGTAATTAGTAGTACAGACTGTCAGATTACAAACACATAATAATAAAATTATTGTACGGAGGCACTGGGCTAACGTAACTATCTAGTGATAAGCAAGATAAGGAAATCCCAATGTATTCCAATCTACCTCTACACACGAACGTATTGGAATACTAATCGACTTCAAGATGCTACGCTTAATGATTCTCTAATGATCTTAAGATAAGAACCGTGGAGTAAACATATATACCTCTACGTACATGCCGTGTTTAATACTACAACAAAAAAAAAACAAGAACATTCCTCTGCCGGAACATGAAAATCCACTAAAGTCGTTTAAATGTCATGTTTTGGAGAGGAAAACAAGTTCGGAAACTGTCCCGGCATGTGTGTGTGATTCATGCTGTACGCAGGCACTATCCGCCTCTCTGGTCAAGAACAGAAACAATACCACCAGTGTCATACAAGGTGAATTTGTAATTTTCATGGCAATCCGCGAATTCACGGTCAATAAACGCTCTCAACGTTACTTCTAATTCCGTAGAAGATCTGCAACACATAGTATTAAGCGGTTACCAACTCTACGTGCAGGTAACATGGTTCATAATGGCGTGACGCAAGCCATTTTCGATAGTGGTACAGATGCAGCGTGCATTGACAGTCCTGCGGGTCATCGTGCACTAACTGTTACCCGAACACTCACCGGCTTATCATGATGTAATAGGGGGCCTTCAGTCATTTTCTAAAATGTGATAAAACCGCCGTAGTCCGTGCGGCGGCGGCTGACATCTGCAACAAGAGGCCATCGAGGTCATATGATTGGAACACACTTAGACAGACGGTACACACATTACTGAAACACTGGGGCTCACTTGTGCTGTGTTGTATGTAAACAAAGATGCATGAAGGCTGATCTGTGTTCCCGGGCGGGAAGTCAAACTCGCAGCATGTCTGACAAGAAGGCACCGGTAAGGTTTGTTTATCACTGAGTCAGAGAGCGCGCGCGGCGCGCGGGGCGAGGTGCGCCGTGCGCGGGGTCGCGCGGCCGGAGTGCGGTGACGCCGATGTCGTGACGTGAGCACGCGCGCCTGCGCACACCACTTGGCGCGCTCCAAAACCACTCCATATTTTCTTGACGTGTAACGTATAACGTTCCGTTTTACTTATTTACAGCGAGTTTTATTTACTGATTTATTTTTACATAGTTATCACATAAAAAATTCAAGGGGTACATGCACTGTAAAGTAGTAGCCGTATTGAAATTATAGCATTTACACAGATAAATGTATTTATCTACTGTATCTGGATATTTTAAAAAATATTGAATCAATCTCAGATTACATGAATGCTAAAGCATAATTATCTAGTACCTGCCTAACTAAAAGCTTATTTATTTCAAGATAAAAATGATTGAACATATATAAACCCAGGAAAACCACACTGAAATACAATAGAATCAACACCTACTATGGTACCTACAATGACGCTGACTGTGGTACATCCAACCACTAGCCAGATATATCACGCTATTTGCATGCCTGTAGATTCCACCAGCCTCCGATTCGTAGGTTATTGTGAGAATAAGCCATTCTGAAAAAAGACACCAGGAAAACTAACTTTTTTTACCTGAACAGCGTGTCTTGGCGACTTGTAATGCATAATGCAGAATAAATAAGTAGTACAGAACGATAGAAGGAAATCATCGTTATTAAACTTCTACGACTTTTTAAACATGTTTAGAGGTTCAATGCCGCGGACAAATGTTGATATGACTATTTCTATGGCCGCAGCCTATAAGTACTATAACTTATTAGTAAAAATCATGCGTCCTTTTCGTTAGTCATGCGTGTATGTCATTGACTCATTTTTTTATCGTTTGTTGAAACTTACCTATACATTATGTAGAAAGTTTCAAACTGGACCGGACAGGTAATATGTAGTGACGCCTGTTGCTTTTTAAACGCAATTTAATTTCAGATAGACTATTGCTATGGACTGAAAGTACATACAATACATAGCATGGAAAGTTCCAGAACCTTCTTCTTCTGAAATATCATACTTTTTCAGACTGATACATTCAATACTTTAATATAATTTGTTAATGTTGTATATAATGGTTTTCCATCGAGCTGATAATTTATTTTAATATAGGTATATGCGTGTACTGACGTGGGTAGATACCTATCAAGATTGACCCACGTCGAAGCTATCAAATAAATTAAAATTTGCCAAATATTACAAAGTTCACATCAATTACATATTTAGGAATAATCCCGTTTTCTAAGAAATGCTATCTAAGATAAGTGTTTAACGTATTGTGGACATTATCATTTATTTAATTTTTATCATTCCATCAGGATATTATCTATTCATATTAGTGACGAAATTATCAGTACTTTACACTACAATCCAAACAAAATTAATTTATTTAGACGTTACCTACCAACATCGTCAATTAATCCCTTAAGATAACATTTAGAGTTACTTAGACGAAAATTTTGGTTTGTTTTATTAAAATATAAAGGAATAGCGACCCGCCCGGGCTTCGCACGGGTGCAATATACATGTGTTATACATATAAACCTTCTTTACGCATCACTCTACCTGTTAAAAAACACGCATCGAAATCAGGTGACTACTTTTAAAGATCTAGACTTTGTTATTTACTATGATGATAATATTTGTTTCCATTTTTGTTGGCCTGTAATTTTCAATGGCCAAAAATTTTGTAACGAGGCGTTGGTGTTCCAGGTGTCCATGGGCGACGCCGATTGCTTACCATCAGGTGATCCGTCTGCTCGTTTTCCGGTTTATCCCATAAAAAAATGCTATTCTATTTATTTCCGCAGACGGCTTAACGGGTTGCCGGGGCCTCGGTTCGAAGAGCAAGAATAGGAACAGGGTGGTTTTTAGTTAGTAAGAGTCTGACACTCCCTCTCGCCTAGCCCAGGGTGGGAAAAGCCATTGGATGATTTCGTCGACGACAGTTAACTGTACTAAACGTATTTTAAATTGATCGTATTGGTATGGACCGTAAAAACAAGTGTGCTTTTCTGTTATTGCTTAGGAGATACAGGTAAAAGAAATAAAGATGATTTTGGGAAGACAAGAATTTGATGTGCGATGCGAATCAATTCGCAAGTTCTTGCGATACGTGGAGGGAGCAGCGCAGTTTTGTGTACGAGCTCTAAAAGTAGCCACGGAATAACTTATTTATGTACCAAACCACACTATTTTTTTAGCGTTGAGGATATTCACTTCTTCGGAGATATTAACTTTGAAACCAACTAACTACGTTAGAAAAATAAAACGTGGACAATGGACATAAGGTGGTTTTTCCAAAACCATTAGGATGCGTCCACATCTGGCGAATGTGCCGCTCTCGAGCCGTTTACGGGCCGCTCAAATCACAAGTGCAGTCACGACAATGGTTTGGTGCTCAACTCATACTTGGTTCGTATAAAGGACATACACGCTAGGTTTTGTATGATGGTTTCAGCCGTGCATGCATAACTGAAAGGCAAACCCTAGCGTGTATGTAATTAAACTGTACAGTTATCAGTGCATCGGTGCTCGGTTATGCTTGTCGGTTTTGCATGCAAAGTTATAACCATCATGCATAACCTAACGTGTATGGCCTCCTTAAACTGTCAAACACCAAGCGGTCACCGGTGACCGCAAACCCCAACCTATTGTTCTATAATTGTGTCTATAATGACGGCACTCGACGAGTTAAATAACCATTTTGCTCGGGGGCGGTTCGCGAGCGACTCGCGACCTGCGCATTCACCAGATGTGGACGCACCCTTACGGGAACAAAATTGGATGGGAAAATATGGTATAGTAGTTAGAATATACTTGTCACCGGCCACTATTCTGGCAGGTATTATAAGAGTCAGCTAAAGGACTACATATCTAACAGAGACCGGCAGTAGCATTCTCTGATAAACCTGATCCTTTATAACTGCGAAATCCAACTCACAGGAGTAGGAACTGTGGTAGATTTTAGTCAGTAAGACTCTCTCTGTCTCCCTGTCTTTCTGTATCTCGCCTCACCCAAGGCAATTCATTGGATAATGACCTACAAAAAGGGAGTAAGAAAATCGAAATAACCCATGTATATGTAATGTACCTACACGAAATTCTAACTCTTGCTTGCGAATAGTGGTCTAATTCTTATTCTAATCGTGTTTGTAGAGCCTTACATATTTCAGTGCGCATTACGGGTTTTTTGATGAGACTGTGACGTAAATTACAATAGATACTTTATGAATTATCGTCAAATTAGCTGTCATCACGGTCATAAATAGCCACATGGTGGCAATCAGATCTGATTTTTTCGTAATAAGTAATCGATATTGCGATCACAACTACTTACGTTAATTGCAGTCATTCGTTGTGATACTGATCTACCGTTATTTAATCAAAGATCTTTTATCTACATACATTAGCGTGGCTGAAAAACGGAAACGATGGAACTTATGTACAATTTAATTACTTCATTTTTAATGTATTTTATGAAGATATGGTAATATTTTTAAATGACTTCAAAAAAGAATGAGGTGCATGTATGATGTATGTATGTATGTTGATGTGTGATTATCTAGTCACTAGCTACTTCCGCGCGGTTTCACACGCTCTGCTCAGCTGCTATTGGTCGTAGAGTGATGTTTTATAGCCTATAGCCATTCTCGATAAATGCGCTATCCAACACAAAAAGAATTATTCAAAGCAGACTTGTAGTTACGGAGATTAGCGCGTTCAAACAAACAAACAAAAAAACAAACTCTTCCGCTTTATATAATAGTATAAGATTGGCGGAACCGATTTTGATTAGGTTTTCAGAACAATTTTTGTTAGATTTAGGTGAAGCTATAGGTATTAATAAACCGACCTCAAAAGAAAGGGGGTTGAAGTCGGTATTTCTAAAAAAAATACTAAGTAGCCAATAGCTAAACAAAAATGTTTTGAAAACCAGAGTAGCTTCAGCGTTTGTCTCGTCAGAGAGAAAATTACCTTAGAAGGTAATTACTAAAGCTTTTTTTCTGTATTTAAGAAGGGTCTTAAAAAACATCTGTACCTAACAGTTATCAGGTCAAAAACCTGAATTAGTAAACAGCTTTATAGTTACATACTTTGAAATTCCTCAAATGTTTAACTATGTCAAAAGAAAAGGATTCGCCGAGCGTAAAAGCTTAATAGATGATGAGAATACTGTGAAGTACCATTATGTACAAATAAGAAAAGTGTATATTAATATGGTTTATACAGATACTTTTTCCATTAGTGGTAAAATTGGAATGAAGTTTCTTGCTCGTTCTTCTCCACTCGAATCGACATTTTGGAACGAGCGCCTAGCTTCACTGACGCACAGACTGACAGGCTATTATTTATTTCATATTTGTTGATGTTTCAAAAGTACCAAATTATGGTTTAATTGAAATAAATGCTTTTGAGATTGAATTTAAAGAGCTTCACAGATTTAAGTGATGAGGGAAATAAGGTGTAGGTCACTGGGACAACCAACTGGACCGAAGAAGTTCATGAAAATTTCCATCACGTTAGAAAAAAGAACCTACAAATTCGAAAAATAAATAGAATTATCTCAATTACATTGATTATTGCGACCAATCCAACCCCGTCAATCTGTGCTTTTAATCAACAGAATGCCGAAAATGTTGGCGTAATTAAACAATTTCAACGTACTTTTGATGTGTCTGATGTTACTTCTGTACTATTGTGACATAACATAACATAACATCACGCCTTTTCTCCCCGAAGGGGTAGGCAGAGGTGTACATTATCCCAGTGTACAATGTAACACCCACTTTTCACTATTTATGTTATGAGTCCCATGTATTAGGGGGTGAGCCTATTGCCATGTACCGGGCATAATTCTAGGCTCCGTGCTAGTACTGAGATTTTTTTAAAAACCCAGTAATATTTTGCCCGACCCGAGAATCGAACCCGAGACCCCTTTTTTTATTGGGACAAGCCCGCCACAACCTCCCAAAACCGCTGCAACTCCTGTAAGCCAGGATCTACAGTAGATACAACCATGAAAACACCGGAACATTGAAGTCCGGCGCG